TTCCTTGTTTTTCTTTTGCATTCTTCCTGTTTTTTTAATGATTTTGAGTTTTGTTCCACATTGTTCTCCCACTCTATCCAGGATCTCCTACATAGATCCCCCTCCTAGTGGTTGACGGTTGTAGCCGGGAGATCATCTACTTCTGGTCTCGTAGTCATATAGGCTGAGGATTGCATGCTGTACCAGTCCCTTGGACTAATTGTTTCCATGCGTCTTTGGTTTTCTTCATCATTCTTTGCTCTGAACGAGGAGAGACTCATCATTGCATCTAGATGGCTGCTTGCAAGCTTTTAAGATCCCAGTCGCTACTTGCCAAAGTAGGATGTGGAACAATGTTTTTGTGTAGTATGTTATGCCAATTGAGTTTGATGCCCTCTGCAACCATGGTCCCGAGCCCACCACTTGCTCCCTCTGGGAAGCTGGCTGTGGCCAAGGAGTGACTACAACCTTGTCCCTTGCCAGCTTTACCATATACCTAGAAATTCTTAAAGAACATAAAAATACACTTGTAGAAACATTGTCTGCCAACCCTATACATGGGCCTGGGCACACTACCCTCTGCATAGACATACCTAACCGTTTAGACTTTCCACCCATCTATCCACCCATAGATCAATGTTTGCATCACTGACAATGCAGTACTGTATGTACAAAAGGGTTCATCTTTGTTGTCTGTACCTCCCATGCACCTCTCTATGTCTTCCCTTTCCTCAGTGCCACTGTGTTGATCACTCACATTTGGTACATTGCCATTCCCTTCACCCAAATCGACACTTGCCTCTACCTATCTAGCAGTGTTCCCTCCCTTACCTTCCCACCCCTAGTAACCAACAAAGAAAATTTCTTTCCATATATAAACCTTTCCTTGACTTTTTACATTAATGGACTAATACAATATTTGTCCTTCTGTGATTGACTTATTTCACTCAGCACAATATCCTCCAAGTTCATCCACGTTGTGCAGTGTTTTGCAGATTGTACATTATTCTTTAGGGTTGCATAGTATTCCATTGTGGGTATGTACCATAGTTTGCTTGGTCCTGAGTTTAGAGCAGTGAACCTGATAGATGAAAGTCTTGGCTTCTTACAGGGCTTACACTAATTCAGTTATTCACTGAGCTTGGCTGTGGCCCTTTCTGCCCTGCAGCCAGCGGTACTGTGTGTGTAACCCAGCCCTCGTGCGCCAGTTCCGGAATCCAGACACCATCTTCATCCTTGCTTTTGCCATCATTCTCCTCAATACTGACATGTGCAGTCCCAGCATCAAGGCTGAACTCAAGACAAAACTGATCTGTTTATTCATTCACTCCCTCTTTCCCTCTCTTCTTTATTTATGCTTATGAAGACTCATTTAATTATTTTAGGTACCCTTTTCTCCATTCAAAGAGCTCTGGTGGCACAGTGGTGAAGCATTGGGCTGCTAACCTAAAGGTAGATGGTTTGAACCTGTCAGCCACTCTGCAGTAGAAAGATGAGGCAGTCTGCTTCCATAAAGATTTATAGCCTTGGAAACCCTATGGGACAGTTCTACTCTGTCCTATAGGGTCACTATGAGTTGGAATAGACTTGACAGCAGTGGGTTTGGTTTGGTTATTGGTTTTCTCCATTCATGCATGCATGTATTCATTCAACCAGCTAACCAGGCAGTCAGTCATTCAACATGTACCTAGTGCCTAATGTGTGCTAGGTTCTATGATGAGTGCTGATGACAGTGGATAGGAGTCTGCCATAGTCTGCTCCTGAGGGAGCTTCCTGTTTGTGGGGGAGACTGACTTGTTTCCAGATAACTGATAATACAGAAAGTACACAGTGATGTGAGAGAGGCCAAAAGTTCAGTCAGAACTCAAATAAGGGAAAGCCCTGGAGGAATCAGTATTTTAAGGTGGGCTTTGAAAGCAGGAAGAATGTGATAGAATGGAGGTAGAGTAAGCAGTAAGAATAACAAAGGCACAGAAGTGGGAGATGTAAAATTGTTTGGGGAATAATTGAGGTAGGGTGGGTGAACCAGTTGAAAAGGTCAGTTGGAACCAACATATAAGGGCCTTGAATATCAGATAAAAGGTATCACTTTGATCTTTTTACTTGGTTTATTTTATTGATATTAAGCCCTACCTCTCTCCAAAGAACAGCCTACTAAAAATGTCACAGATATTAAAATCATTTAAGCAGAAATGAAAGAGGAAATAGAGTTTAGGGGAGAAAAGAAAAAGACAAAACAATTTTGCTGACCATTAGGGGTTTGTACAGTGGCAGTGAGATGAAAGATATTCATTTAGCATCTTTCCAAGGAGGAGGTGTGGCATTTCCAAAGGAGAAAACATCTACCCTAGCAGGAGGTTTTGAGAGAAGAGTGAGTGGGTCTTACTCAGCAGACAATCAGGAGTGGAAAAGGATGGTAGACTTGGGAGGAGGGAGTTAGACAGATCAGAGGCTATCTGGAGCTGTCTCCTAGAATCCTGCTATTGCTTGCTCATTCATATTCTTTCTCTCTATATATGTATGTGTGTATGCATATGCACGTACACATATACATATGTATGCATCTATATATGTATTATATATATGTGTGTGTGTATATATATAAATTCCTCTTTCAAGTATTAAATAAAAAAAGTAAGGCATGCTTATTTCAGAAATTTTGGAAACTTAGAAAATTTCCTCTAATCACCCAAAATTGGTTAATATTGGTATGTTTTCTAGTCTTTTTTCCTCGTGCTGTACATGCAGTTTATTATGCTGCTCTTCTCACTTAACTTGCCACAAGAATTTTCTCATGCTATTGAAATATTTTTGTAAACAACAAGCTTTAATAACTCTGGTGGTGAAGTACCTAAGGCATGTGACTGTTACCCAGAAGGCTGGCG